CTCATACGTGTCCTGTGATCCTATTTGAGGCATTGTGGAACACTAAATGTGGATACTTTTTAAAGCCGGATTTTGAACCTTAGTTTGCCACACTGACTAGCCCCTTCTGCTGGACCAAATTGTAGTTGACAAATGAAGGGTTTTTATGCTGTTTGTTTTTTCATCCATGTATTTCTTTTTTGTGGGTTTCAATGTTCTTTGATCATTGGGAGTCTCTATCAACTAGTGATTAGACTATTTTACCGCGTATATAAATAGATTTAAAACTTGTTTTACAAGCTTTTAACATTGATGGGTCTTTATTTGAGTATGCTTTTAATAAGTTGAGTTTATGGGATTATTCCAATGTACTGCAGGACACATATTTTGGAAATTCGAACGTTTTTTAACCAAATTCTAAGGGGCTAGTTCCTTCCACTAGACTCAACTACAGTTGGAAAATGAAGGGTCTTTCTTGTCATTGTTTTTCATTCCCTCAGTTTGAGTATTTTGGCGGTTTAGGCATTGGTCATAGACACTTTGATGGGTATGTATTTTGGGTATGCAAGTTGAGTTGCTTCGGCGAACATCTTTGGGAATTTGAATGGCTCTATTTGAGTAGCAAGTTTTTGCTTTTGATGGATGGTTTTCTCTAATAATGTGAGCTGTCCTTGTTTGATGTGGTTTGTAGAGGGAAAGCTTGTTGTTGATTCGTGGTTTCTGAACCTTGTACATGTTCCCTGATTCAAATTTACTATCAATTTTAAGCTTATTTGTTTCTTGGGTTTGAATGAATGTGTTTAGGGAGAGAGAGTGATACCTTTGTATTTTCCAAATGCAATTATGTATCCGGCGTTTGTTAAATTTCTGTTCATATATTCTAGTTCTAGTTCCTATGTAATAGATTCTTCTTTGCCAGTGAAAACATTATTCTTTTAGTTGCTTAAGTCCCAAAATAAATTGAAGGTGAAGACAAGAAGGCAAAAGTTTTTGGTATAGTTAAAAAGAGAACATTATTCAAATAAAATATTGATGTTTTGGAAAATGGGATTTTGCCATATTGGTGAAGACAAGATGGCAAACATTAAATTTGGTTATCAGGGATCATTCAATGGTCAAGTTTTGATTTTATCATTTGTTAAAACATAGTTCGCAACTTACAAACTGATAGGAACCCAGAAATAGTTAGGCCCAAACCTAAAATATCTAAGGTGTATGTTAGATAAAGAAGGAATGGCAAAGTAGGGGATCAAAATGGTCAGAGAGAGAATGAGAAGAATCTTTCCATATAACAAACTGCTGAGCTGGCACAGTAGGAAATGAGTAATTATGTTGTTTGGGTATAAGGGGTGGAAAGAGAGTGGGGGGAAGAGGGGCTGGAATTGGCTAGGAATCGGGAGAGACTAGACACTCTCTAACTGTCTAGAAATACCTTTTTTCTTTCTTTTACAAATCTGTATTCTCTTTCTGGGATATGCACTCTGTTTTTCTTTAATAATAAAGTGACTATTCAGCTATTGTGTGCTTCCTTATTTCTAGTATCTATCACAAACTTTTCTAAGAAACATATCTAGAATTGAGTTCATTAAGTTTTCTATTGTTAGTTTTTGGTCGCAGGGGAGGGGGGAGGACATGAAGATTATTATTCTTAGTAATGAACAAATTAAGCATCTGGTATTGCATTACTGTTTTAACCATGAAAGAAGAAGAACTATTTTGTGTAAGAATGCAACAATGTTTGACTAAAGTTGATGAGAAGTGCTCAATGTGTAAGAATTCCAAGCTTTCCTTGATATTTTGAATTTTGTACTTTTCAACAACAAAAACAAAAGCCTTATCCCAATGAGGTTGGCTACAAGGATCAGAAATTGCCACTTGGCTTGATTCATGACTATAGATTCATACTTTCCATGGCAAAAATAGACTGCATATACTTGGTAAACATTTTGACTTGAATTCTCTGCTCATTAATATTAAATAGTGAAGATGTGCTTAACTGTAGCTATTACGAAGGGAAATAGATGTGTATATTTGTTTAAACTTCTTTTTAATTGTCCACATATTTGTTGAGTACCAAAGTAATCTATAAATGTCAAAGAATCCTTTTAAACATGTACACAAAATGTACAGTTCACTATCAGTGTGCGAAGCTTTTTGTGGAATTGATTAGTAGATCCCTTAGAAATTTGAAAAGTCGACACTGAGGTTAAATCTAAGTGTGCTGTTTCATGAGTCTTAACATGCTTCAGAGTAGGCTTTTTGTGGTTGGGGACTTGTATTTCAAAATGATTTAATCATACCAAACAGTAGAATACATGTTATAAGATTTTGAAATTTACAGTTTTTGAAATGACGGCTTGGATTTTATTCCTGGTAAGTGGATAGTCAACCCTTGAATCAATTCTTAAGTTTTATCTATGAAATAGCAATGGACAAATAGAAACTTGTGAAGGGCTACTTTTCAAAAATGCAAATGTCACTATTATATTAGAATTAAGTTTGCATTAACTACTTTTGCCTCTTTTTGTAATCAACTAACTAGCAAAATATTGTGAGGATTATTTTATCTAGTTTGTTTAATTTCTGTTCAATGTTTGTGCTGATTGTTTTATTGATGTTTTTGTGCATAGCCCTAATAGTTCCAAAATTTATCATAATGTATCAGATATTAATTAAATAATGGTTTTGTATGTCTAGGTGGAAAATGGAAAGGCCCAAGCTGCTAATTTTCCATTTTGTACAATAGAGCCAAATGTAGGGATTGTTGCTGTTCCCGATTCTCGTCTCCCTGTACTCTCGGATCTCAGCAAATCTCAGCGTTCTGTTCCAGCATCAATAGAATTTGTGGATATTGCTGGGCTTGTCAAGGGTGCAAGTCAAGGCGAGGTTTTTTTAATTTCTCTTCTCTCTGATTCTTGTCTCAACAAGAACTTGTTTTTATCTTATTTTTAATAAATTCTTTTATGTTTGGCGGTAGTAAGTATGCATTTTCATTGCATTGATCTCTATTCTCTTTTCAACTATTGCAGGGGTTGGGTAACAAGTTTTTGTCGCATATTCGTGAGGTGGATTCTATACTTCAGGTGTGTATCTATCGTCATTTCTTTGTTATCATGATCTTAGATGATTACAGCTATCTAATCTTTTTGTTCTCTGCAGTTGTTCCCTTTTTTTGTTGCTAGAATAATTACATCTACATATCATCGTAGTGTGCTAGCTTTTATGAGTTGTATCTATAGTAGTACCTAGTTCTGTACTTATATGACTAGGGAAGTCTCTTAATCTTCCATGTACTTTTGTATTTGTTCTTTATTATAAATAGAGGATTGTGAGAGGGATCAACTAAGTCCTCTAGAAATATATTTTCTGTTTAATCTCAAGTTTTATGAACCAATTTAGTAGCGCTATGTACATAGTGTGAATCTTAACTTAGAGTTTGGCTCTAGAAATATATTTTCTGTTTAATCTCAAGTTTTATGAACCAATTTAGTAGCGCTATGTACATAGTGTGAATCTTAACTTAGAGTTTGGAATCGTTTGTATTTGGTACGAAATACAGGGTAGTTTTCATTCCCTTTATTTATTTAAAATTTCTGTGGATCTGTTGGTTTTCGATAATCAAATTAGGTTGTACGATGTTTTGAAGACAATGACATTGTTCATGTGAATGGGAAGGTTGACCCCAAGTCTGATATCGATGTTATCAATTTGGAGCTCGTTTTCTCAGATTTGGACCAGGTCAGCTTACTAACTATCACTCCACACCATTTTATTGCTTATTTATCATTCTAAATATGTTGGTAGTACATTTAGCTTTTTATAATATTTGTCATGATCTATTACTTAGTTTGGATGATATTATATTATTTTTCTTCCTCGTGCTTTTGGGTTTTTGAACTCTACCTGTGCATGCAGAAACACTTGCTATGAAATTATAACAAACTTCACTGATAAGCTAAGATATTCCTTTTTTAAGCAATGCAGATTGAAAAAAGAATTGATAAGCTAAAGAAGGGCAAGGCAAAGGATTCACAATCTAAACTCAAGGTTATAGTCTTTAACTGCCTGCTACCACATGTCTTAAACTTGTGTTTATTTGTTGAAATAAATCCTTCAACTTGGTTTTGAAAATTTTGATTCTAGGAAGAGGCAGAAAAGTCTGCATTGGAAAAGGTTCAACAGGCGCTTATGGATGGAAAGCCTGCACGATCTGTGACCTTAACAGATTTTGAAAGGGATGCTGTAAAACATCTCTGCTTACTCACCATGAAACCTATTATATATGTGGCAAATGTTGCAGAAACCGATCTTGCAGATCCTGCAGACAATAATTTTGTCAAGGATGTTACAAATGTTGCATCTGAGTTGCAGTCCAGAATTGTAACAATTTCGGCACAGGTATTTTAGAAGGCTTTTGAAGTTCATTACACTGTTAGATCAATAGTGATGTTAGCCTCCTTTTTTAAATGTTTGTACAATTTATTTAAGCTTCTTGAACAAGTTTTCTTGCTTTGATAAAAGTGTCAGAAGTAATGGCAGGTCACACTTCCCCTCTTCAATGGTTTCTCCTTTCCCTTCTAGTTTCACATGGTATCTGTAGGGGGGGTGGCGCGTGGGAGGGTAGTGGCATCTACACCCACTGTATGTGGTGACCATTAAACTCATACTTGCCATTGTTAGGTAATGACAATAAAATACGTGATATGATATGCCTATAAATCATATTCTACTAAATTTGATTCTAATTAGATATTCCTATAATAATAAAGATCCTTAGTAAATAAGGGAACAACTCAAATATTAAAGAAGAATAAATGCTAAGAGATAATCTAATATACTTACAAATATTCTAAGTATTTTTTAGATATTTCTTAAAATTTTAACATTTACGATACAAAGTGATAGTGACCTGCCCAACTGTTCTGGCCTCCAAGTTCTTAATCATTTTTGTGGTTCTTTCCTCAAGGAGTCTTAGAAGGTTATGACTGGTTTGGATCCAAAAGATTGCCACCAGACGTGCTTCTACTTCTAGAGAGAAGACGTCAAACTCCAGTTGAAAGTTACAAGATTTGAGGACCCATGGTGGAAGCATGAGATTTTGATATGGGGTTTACAAGGCCTTAGCTTAGGTGCATATCTTTTATAATTAGGAATATCTAGATTATACATGTACTATTAGGAAAATTTTTATTTATTCTCGCATCATATCTTAATTATTAGAGGATACCATATCTCCTCTATTTACTGATTTAGTTTTGTCAATATAAATAAAGTTTCGTGCTGTCTAAAAATTGCACGGTTCAGCCCAGTGCCTCTTTATTTCTTGTAGTTTTGCATGGTCTCTAGGAGCTATATAAAAACCATGTTGGTTTGGTAGACCCATTATATCTGAAAGATTTTGTTTGGCGAACCTTGCTCCCAAGTTTGCATGCGTGGTTTCAATGTTGTTTTCGACGACCTTTGTTTTGTTTGGGGAGCACAGGGTTGGGATGACATTGAGCTGATTATCCAACAAGACATACATTGAGGCAAACCACAGATCCATGCGCGTCATATTTCTCGTAGCCCACAACTCCTGTTGGCGCATGGCGGTGCACGCAGCAGTGGCTAAAGGCCAGCCAACCTACGCCTTGGTAGCCTCCTCTATGAAATCCTAACCCCTGTGGTGGTGGCTCATTCGGAGTTTGTTTGGCAGTTCAATTAATTTTCTATCTTGGATTATTTTATTTTTTTTTTCTAGATTTAGAAAATGTTTTCCATCACCTAATTAACATCTATAATAGACTCTCACATATTTTCTAACCATATTGTTGGTATTGAGACGATGGACGAGGCTAACTATTCAAATTGAGCTTCTGAAATTAGTTTATGGCTAAGTGGGTTGGGCACAAATCTCGTATTACTGCCCACTATTGAATTCTATGATTGATCTTTGATCTTCCCTATACACATTGTATCAGAATCCTATCAATATAAATATGAAAACATCTGAGGGGAGTTTTCAAGCTCTCTCAATTTACTCTTAAGTATATTCTTTTTTATTTATCTCAGTTTGGTATTAGAGCAGGTCGATTATGTTTTGTTGGTCTCAATCTTCTTCGGAGCAGTTTTCAGCACATTCACCATCCGTCACCTCTGTTGCTGCCAGCCGCCACTGTTTCCCAGTTTTCTCTGGCGACCACTAGATTTGGAGCGTCTTTCTGAGCAACGACCAACCTCGGCAATTCCGGAAGCTGATTCTTCTACACGTGTTGCCACACACTCAATATCTGTTTGTCGCTGTTAGGAGCATGTCACCCATGCGCCGCCTTCCTCTCGCCGGAACTTTGTCGCGCCACCGTCATAGGTCTCAGTCGAAACTCTTTGTCACGCCACCAATGTGGTCAAGAGTCATCCTAGTTCGAGGTCACGCTAGGATTCTCATCCACCTTAGCTGTTTTCTTCTTCTCCACCAGTGGAAAGGTTTGGAACTATTTTCTCTTTCTCTTTGCATGAAACAACCAATGTCTCTATTGCTGAAATTGTTAAACCAAAATTCTTTGATGAAGAATACCAAGAATATTGTGGTTGAAATCTAATAGCTTGGCACAATTATCCATAAATCACAACTTCTCAACAACTTGCATCTCATAATCCATGGAAGGTCAAAAGCCCATGGATAATTGACTCAGGTGCTTCTAACCATATTTTTGGTACTACCTCCTTGTTCTCACCCTTTCCTTTCCATAAAATCCTTATTTCATCACCCTAGGCAATGGCTCTAAAATCTCCTTCCAAGGTTGGTCAAGTTTCACTTTCTTATCTAAAATTAGTTCTTTTTTTCCCTTGTCCTTTCAATCTTATTTCTTTGAGTCAACTAACCAAGTCTTTTAACAGTTGAATAACCTTTGATGCCAAATCCTTTGTTATACAGGAATGTGGTATAGGACGACTGATTGGAGGAGGATATGAATATGGAGTTTTGTACTAATTTAGAACTAGTCTATGTGTGTCTTGTTTTGCTTCTCTATCTACTAAGCTTTTGCATGATCGTAAGGGACATCCACACGTGTCAAAATTAAAATGTGAGTCATGTAAATGGTCTTAATTATCATTGTACAATCATTGTATGACTGTATTCAAGGCCAAAATGAAGAAAAAGTGTCACTGTAGCAGGTAATAATAGCCAAATTTTTTAATAATTGTCAGTGATTGTATGAACTTGACTACAATGATACTTTTTCTCTCATGACCAAAAGGACTACTATTCGTCGTTTCTTTGCCATGGTAGCTATTCGTCATTGGACACTTCATGTACTGGATATTAAAAATGCTTTTCTCCATGGGGATCTAGAAGAGGAAGTCTGCATGGAGCAACCTACTGGATTTGTTGCTCGAGGGGAGTTTAGCTTGATTTATAAGTTGCGCTGCACTTTCTATGGTCTCAAGCAATCTCCACGTGCTTGGTTTGGAAAATTTAGTTCAATTATTCAAAATTTTGCCCTGAAACATATTGAAGCGAATCAGTCAGCTTTTTATTGTCATACCTCTCCTGGGAAATGTGTTTACTTAATAGTATATGTTAATCGTAATATAATCATTGTAGGGAATGATGCTACTAGAATATCTCAACTGAAGGAATACTTTTGTAAACATTTTCAAACTAAGGATCTTAGGAGCCTCAAATACTTCTTAGGTATTGATGTAGCCTAGTCAAAAGACGGTGTTGTAATCTCTCAAAGGAAGTATGCCCTACACATCTTGAAAGAGACAAACATGCTTGACCGTAGAAGTCCTATGGACCTAAATCAAAAATTAATGACAGAACAAGATGGATCTTTCTCTGATCTAGAAAGATATAGAAGGCTGGTTGGAAAGCTTATTTATCTTACTATCACTAGACCTGATTTATCCTTTGCAGTTGGTGTAGTTAGTCAATTTATACAAGCTCCTTGTATTGGCCATTGGAATGTTGTCATGCGTATCCTAAGATACTTCAAAAAGGATCTAGGACAAGGTTTGTTATTATTAGAAAGTGAGTTTTTAAGCCTAACTCAAACCCACAAAATCGGCTTGTAGGGTGAGGTTTGCACCTCACTTATATATTATAATTTGGCCTTATCTCTAGTCGATGTGGAACTTCCAACACACCCCCTTCACGCCGAGGTATAGACATCTCGTGCGTGATAGTAGAAATTGGGTGGTCCGATAATGGCCCGATTGCGGGTGGAATAGAAGAATAGAATGCCCACTTAGAACTCGCTAGGATAGGCTCTAACCATGGCTCTGATACCAACTTAAGATTGAAAAGAAATAATTCTTGAGGGCTTAATTGATCCCTCTCACAATCTTCTATTTATAAGAATAAATTGATACACAAATACATGATAAAATAGGATAAATATCCTAACAGTTATATTAAGATAAAAGAAATACCCAAATATCTGGGTATTATGATGTTGACTGGGTAGGATCCCCTACGGGTAGGTGTTATACTACGGTATATTGTGTTTTCTTCTGGAGGAAATATTATGTCTTGGAAAAGTAAGAAACAAAATGTTGTCACTCAATCAACAACTAAAGTTGAATATAGGGCAATGATGTCTCTTGTGAACTTATATGGGTGAAATAATTCCTTCAAAAACTTAACTTTTATGAGATTCAACAAATGAAGATGTATTGTGACAACCAAGCTGCCCTTCACATTGCTTCCAATCGAGTGTTCCATGAAATAACTAAACACATTGAGATTGAGTGCACTTCGTACGGGAAAAGTTGCTTTCCTAGGAAATTTGTACTGAGTTTGTTGGATCCAATATTCAACTTGCAGATGTATTAACAAAATCATTAACAAAATCATAAAAGGGACCTCTAATTGATTTTATTTGTTCCAAGCTTAGTACATACAATTTGTATACTTCAACTTGAGGGAGAATGTTAGAATAAGCATTAAATGTAGTTAAGAAGTAATTGTATTGGAAAAATACTAGTACCTATTACCATACCTATCTTTTTACCTAAGTATCTACGATTGATCTCTGATTTTTCCCTTTACACATTGTATCAGAATCCTATGAATATAAATATGAGAACATATGAGGGAGTTTTCAAGCTCTCAATTTACTCTTAAATATAGTCTGTTTTATTTGTCTCAACTAGAAGAACATAAACAATGGATAAAGATTGAAGCTCAATTGTGTCATGTTATCAAATCTACTATATCCACATCTCAGTCAAACCTATTTTTCTGTGCCCATGAGACATGTGCATCAGGTTGGAGCGAGGCTTGTGCCCTTTATACAAATGAAACACACCACTTATATGATGTATGCCAATATCTCTTGACACTTCTTTCCATGACTATTTGAAGGTCCTATCTCTGCTTATCTCTAGCGTATTCTTGTTTCCAAAATGCAAGC